GGAGGAGATGTGTTGTGCGCAAGCAGTGATGTGTCGCATAATGTTGGCTTCAACATACTCACACTTTGCTGATGTTGCTTCACTAAGGGTTTGCTGCATTAGAACTAGAAAAGGGCGGGTCAACAAGACTTCCTGCATTGACCTTTTCTCAGCGTAATTAGAATGGTATCAGGCAACGCCCAAAACGGTCCAGGGCAACCCTGCCAGCCTACCTGGTCGAACAAAGTAAAGGCCGTGAATTCACCTAAGCCACTAGCAGGGTGCCAACAAATGAACATCAACATCTGGCTCGTTTGTTGAGCTGTACCCTTTTCAGTTTGGCTAACAAGGATGTCCATTCTTGCGAGGAACCTGGCCGGCCATACCGACCCAATATTCCAGATCTGTCCAGGTCAAAGCCTCCTGCTTGTATCAAACCCCGGCAATTGATCGGTCGGGGCTACCCCATAGCGTCCGTGAGCAATGATTCGGACGCATTCGATATAAAACGGTGCACTCGAAACCTCCAGCTGGCAATACGCGCGTGTCCCTGCAAAGATGCTTGCGCCATGTGCTGCTCGCCTAACAGGAAAACCAGCGGGGATCTACTCGACTGCAACATGTGGCTGTCTAATCTGCTTCATGCCATCAAACTCTCGTAAATCCTCGAAATCGCCGTGCCTCGTGAGAGCGCGCCAAATCTAGATGTCCTGTAAAAAGGAAGGACACAATGGCACTGGCATACAATGACGGCCGAAAGAGGACACGCATAACACCATGAAACCATCATGCGGCGTCGGGGTTTCCACAGACTGAGGCCCACACGGTCAGCCACTCGAAGCCTTGTAGGGCGGTATCCTGGCGAATGACACGCAGCCCTTATTTGGCCTTATCGCTTCCCTTTTCGCAGTTCCAGGGGATACCCACGAGAAGGACGGCAGCGTTGACCCCATATCAACCAATCAATAGGGTGTCCCTGGGTTTAGTGGGGAATCATCACGTTTGGAGGGGAACACCCACCTATTAACCAAAAAAAAGCAGAACCAATGACTCAAAAAAAACCTCCGGGTTCTGGCGCGTTGGGGTTTTCAGCCTCCAAAAACCAACGAAGCCCCAACCTGCCTGCGGGAGCTCAAAGGAGGTGTTCACCAAGCTCCCTCGGCGCGAGGCTCCGAGGCTCCGAGGCTCCGAGGCATCGGGGGCGGTCGTCCTTTTGGAGTCTCTCCAAATCAGCGACCAGCGGCTTCCTTCGCAACAGCCATATTTCCCCCCTGAAACATCGCTGCAATGGAACATGAGCCGTTGGGCCAAGCGATTGAACTGGCTGCCAAGGGCAATATGGGGACTCAAACAGGGATTCCTGAAACAGGAGACCCAAGTGCCATCACGTCAAGCATCTTTGGCTCAGGAAGCCAATTGCTCTTTGCACTCGTTGCTTACATATTTCTTTCTCGACATAATTTAACCTCAACCTCAAAATGGCAGGTTTGTCCGGTCCATTGCCTAGTACACAAACCCGACGTGTTGGCGCCCACAACAAATAAACACACCAAGTTCGGATTAACTGGCAATTTGCCATTGTTTAACCCTTCGGGGGATGGTTTCAAAGGGAAGCCAAGCGGGATTCAAGTCGTATTTCGTGGCTCGAAGCACAAGCTTCTTCTTTTGGGCTGCATGAAAATGGATTGTCAAGCCTTCAACTTCCAACCGGTGCTGGACTAGAGGAACCCAAAGCTGCAGTCCTCAGACCTATGGAACAGTTTTTGGATCCTATGGGATTGCAGCGTACAAAAGACTTCATAACCACCCAAGTCCAGCTTACTCAGCTTTCGGATGCTATGTGGTACTTCGTCGTACTTAGGGCAATGCCACTCAACGACTCACCCAAAGACTGTGTTGATCTGAAATCTGACATCTCGCAGCTGGATCAAACCCTGGATTTGCCCAACACATATCCTGCGTGCAACCCGAAACACTCCATGTGTGGATCTTTACAATGGTCAAATGTTGGTGTATGTATGTATATATATATATATATTACACGCATGTGTGCAATGTCTTGATTTCTTGTTGGCATTTCGCAGTGTGTATCTGCGTTGTGGGAATCAGCTTGGTTTCCTGTACTTGTGCCGTCTCATGGTGAACAGACAAAAAAAACCACCCATGGGCCTAGAAGAGAGCGGGTGAGGCCCTTCAGGTACACGGAGAAGAACTGGACCTGCACATATCTGAATCGACTTTCAAGGGGCTCGGAAATCAAAACGTCCTCTAGGTCCACCAAAGTGATATCCCCAAAAATAACCTCGAAATGGTGGTTGCAAGTGAAGTGCCCCTTGAAGACACCGACGGTCTTGGGCAACCGTCAGCATGTTCACTTCTGGAAACCATTGTTCGTTGGCATTTCCATGGCAATCATCATCCCTGGGTTCTTCCATCCGCAGTATGACCTCTGATTGCCATGCAAAAACCGAAGCGAAGAATGGGCTGCCAAAAGGCCCAAAGGCAAGGCAACAATCAAAGCAGAAGGCTGACCGACGCATCCCCTCAAAGGTGAGACGGAAATCCTCATCGGCATGGGGTTACCATCTTCCTATAGACCTCCGATGGCCAAGGGAAAGATGGGTTGTTGAAATGCTCGTTGATTTTCATGTAAAACCGCTCCAGAAACGGGAGACAAGACACGACAGGAGGTCGGGTACGTTCCGCCGGGGCCAGTCAATCTGGCCATTGGGAAGCTTCAAATGGACCTGTATCACATCGCACCGGAAGCAAAAGTTTCCAAAAGACCCCGGTTTTGCTGAAAGACCACCTGGAGGTACTTGGACCCTCTCTGAACATCCTACTTCTTGTAGTATCCTTGTTGAAGCGGCTGGATCTGGATGCTCAGGTTCTGTTTCATGTTAAGCCTACTGGACGAACTGCTACACCAGTTCATAGGCGGTTCATCCAGTAGGGAGGATTTCTACATCCCAGCGGATTTTGTCAATTCAGTGCATCAAATACATTCGGAGGAGGCCCAGAATTCGGAGCTCCCGGCACCTGACAGACCCGAAAACATCCTGATCCGTGGAGTGCGAGGCTACTGCCCCGGTCCATACGTATCAGTCCCACTTTTGGCACGACTATGAGGGGAGCTCGCCTATTCGCCTCAAGTTGAGGAGGACAGCCCAAACGAAAAGGGTATGGCGCTCGGCCCCGGTTTGCATGCAGCCTAGTCTCCTTCGGGAAGACCACATGGAACTGGTGAACGAGAAGTTCCAAGCTGGTTCACCAGTGGAATGCGTATATATTCAAACAAGCTGACATAGACTGGGTGTTAAACACGGGTTTGGAATGAAACACATCCCTTTAGCCGTTTGGCTACCGTTCCAGAAACCTCAGCAACATGAGATATTTAGCACGTAAAAGCCTGCGCTGCTGCCAAATGGCTCGCCCAACTCCCAGACCGCCATCTCTGATGTCAGGAACAAGCCTCGAAGTGATGCTGCTGCCAGCGGACTAGTCCCCTGCAAACTAACATGGAACCGAAAACACAACTAAAGTCACTAAAGGAACCTCCCTTAAGCAGCCCTAAACGTCTTTGGCTCAATATCAATTTGCAGAGTATTGGCTCAAATAACTGGGGTTGGCGGTTTAGAGGTCAGGGAAGCCATCCAAGCCGATGTCAGCAAAGGATTCAAATCCGGCCAACGACGGACACCAGCAGCTATGCAACATGTTGTAATATGTTGTACATTGAGAAGCTGCTGCCATTTCGATTTTCTGTTTGTAGGTGAGCACATAAGATTGTCACCCACAAAGGATCTAGTACAGCCATCTTGAATAAGCAACAAACTGCTTCAAGCTCATGTACCTACAGAAGCTGTTCAAAGGCCAGCTTTAGTTTGGACTCACCACAAGCCTGAGTTTGACCCACTGACTCCAAACACAACGCCACGCCGTCCACCAAGAAATCCCGAGTTCACCAGCCTAACCGAGCCATGTGGGGATATGTTGAACTGAAACACGTAGATAGAGCGAGCGAGCCAGAGCCGTACCCTGCACAATGCCCAGAGCCCACCTCCACCGAACGTGCTGTGTCAAGTTAAGTTAAAGGGAAATGCTTGCTTCCGTCCCTAATGGCCCTACTCACGACACGGAAAACACATGTCTGTCAAGATCTGGTGGACATCATCTGCCACCTTCCATGTATAAAAGGCCTGTTGAAGCCCTTCATCCCCTTTCGAAGGAAACCACCACAAGTTGCCTCACAAGTTGCAGTTTCATCACACTACCGCCATGATCAGAGACAGCTTTTCAGCCAAGCTGGCCCAGTTGCCTTCACGCAAGTGCCACAATCCAAACATGGCAATTGCAGGACCGCAGCGATGTATCCGGACGTCTTCTCAGGCTCCAGCTCCCAGCTGATGTCGCCACCCAGCTCATATCTATCCAAGTCCTACAGCCCGCAGCGCAGCACCGGCCACGCGACAGAAACTCCGATGTCTGAGTCCCTGTCAAAGGCTCAATGCATGCACCCATTTATGAGACCTTTGTATGAGCTCTTAATCTACCGCAATGGCAGCGATGGAAACCCAAGCTCCTTCCGGGCCCACAAAAGGCCGTGCGCGGACGTATGCAATCGGCCTCTCTTTGGGACAAACAGGTGCAGCGAGTAATCAATCAAATAACACACAAGTCGATTCATCGTTGCTTCAAAAGGAAGCAAGTGCCAGTTTTACGCTGCCAGAAAAGGGACAGATTCAACTAATACAGAAACCCTTACGCCTATTTTTGGCCCAAAAGGCAAAGCCAAAGGGACCACCATTTTCGTTCCAGCTGCGAGCTTTGGAGTCGCCCAAATAGCCCCAGAGCGGTTGTTGTTCTCGCCTATGGGTTTGAGGTCCACGAGGATTCCAGGCGGTTGCTGTTGTTGGGACACCACATTTGTCGGGTTGGGCTTCACTTCCTTGCTCTGGATCCACCGGACCGCACGTCCATGGTAGCAAGGCAGTACACCAAAGCAACGTCTACCAGATTCCTGTCTGGTTGATGCTGCCGTTAATTTCTTTGGCAATCTTAGGGTCAGCGTGGGGCAAACTTGGTCTACCAAACAGGGAGTCGAATTTGGTATCCTTGGCACGTGGAATAGCCCCCGTCTTTTCGCGGGCCTGGAAGATGGGATTGTGGATGTTCTTCGGGCAGCCCCTTTCGTCGTTGTCGAAAATAGAAACCAAAAGGCAGGCAACATTTATGGGGTTCCCCGGTTCTGACACAAAACCATATTGCTTTGTGTGGCTCCAAATCCTGCCAACACTTGGGCCCCACCTCGTCGATGAAGGACAGATTCGTGGCGCTGGCCTCAAGAAACTACACGCAAGTCGGTGGCTTAGTTAAATCTAACTCAGCGCCACGCCCCTCGCAACAAATGGAAAGCATCCTGCACGGACAGTGGAATGTTGCTATTTCCACGCAAACGAGGCAAGCGCGTCGAAGAAAGTTGTCGGCCATCGGCCCACCAGTCACCCGTATTGAAAGATTTGAAACCCAACGGCGTGGCAGACAACAGTGTGAGCACTCGACCAATTCGATGACAAACAGGAAATTGCCTGAAGTCTCCTTGTGACCCCACTGCAACATGATAGGACAAATTGGACCATGACCCCCAAATTCATTCACCTCACTTCTCAATCGGGTCAGAAGTCACACCCAACTAGAGGGACCATGTCACTGACATTGTCGTTACACAACAAACAAAAAACCTCGGTCAGTTGAGAAAGTCTCGAAGACAGGCACTTCTGTTGCTGGGAAAGCGGCCTTGGGCGGGTTTACTTCGGGGACAAGGAATCCCCGAATAAATGGGTTGGGGCTGGAAAAGCCACCCATATTCCCTCCGCCGCGCCATACCCCTGCTAATTTCTTCTTCTGATATAGGGAATATTGAGAACAACTGGTTTGCGGGATTCTTAACATTCACTTTCAGTCTGATAGGAGTAAATACTTACCAATTATGTTTCCCCTCATGGATTTGCCTCAAAATAGTGGACCCCAAAATGGTTGGTTTTCCTTTAAATCCTTTTGAACCCACCCCAACAGAGCACCTCTTGGTGTCTTCCAGGGCCCCCTTTAAGCCCAGGTGCCAGGGCATCCTCCACGAACACGAAGCCAGAGGCAACGCTGGACTCTGCAACAGCAGAGGACGCCTCCGACAAACAGCCCAACAGCTCTCCAAACAGCTCAACAGCCCAACAGCTCAACAGCCCAACAGCCCAACAGCTCAACAGCCCAACAACCTCAACCCAGCAGTGAACAACCAATCGGCCTCACAACCCAAGAACAAACAACTGGACAAGCATAGCTGGGGCTGTCCTCAGATCCCCTGCCAAAAGGTCAACTGTTGGTGGGTGAAATGGACACTCGACTAACCCCAAAATAACCTAAGCAGACGGCTGCGAACTACCAAGATGGGTGTGTGTTTTGAGGATTCCCTGTTTCAGCTTCCTTTGAATTTTGGTGGTTTGGAGCCCGGTGGTTGATGATTAAGGTTGGGGAAACCCGTTTCCCCTCTACAAGTCACAGGTTCAAGTCCCCAAACCACCAATGTTCTTGGGTTGTTTTGAAGGAAGACAAGAGTGTCCTCTAAACAAACACCAACAGGGCCACAACACACATACCCATCTGGAGCTTCATGGGTGAGCTCCTTTTAACCCCGATTGATCACTTCGAATTCGAAGGTCCAAATCACCCAGGGCCCAGATGCCTAACATCTCATGCGATGGGAACTTGTTCATTCGGGTCCATGCTTCTTGGCGTGTTCATCTGCGGTTGGGGGCAGGAGTTCTTCGCTGCGTTGATCATAGAGTTCTTTGGACACTGTTCGCCGAGAAGAACGTCCCATATTTGACCACAATTCCGAACATGTGTCAAAACATCCAGCAGTGGGCGAGCCTCTTGCACACAGATGCCATGTGAGATCTCGTCATTTATCATGTAACCCAAGAAATGCAGCATGCGTCAAACAGAGCCTGCAGTCGGAACAAATGCCGATTGCGTCGAATTGCCCAACCCAAACAAAACATTGTTGTTTTCTGTGGATTGCATGTTTGTTGGCCAACTGATTTGGGGTGCAGACACCCAGACCTGCAGAAACAAAGCATAGACCCTTCAACAAATGCTAAGCCTGCGACAATTCACTGTAGATGTTGCATGATATCGCGTCCCAAATAAGAGCGGGACATGCCGGCGAGTTCCAGTGTTCATTGAGTTGGCACCACTCCACTGCAAGGTCGGGAACCCTTCTGTCAGATTGCCGCAAGGGGCCCTGGTAGAATCCCTGCTGGCATGTTGCATGCCCTTTAAGTTAAGCGTTGTACCCAGGAACAATGTACGGAGAACGGTCCTTCCATACGTTACCCGTGAAATAGAGGGGTCTGGAAAATATGCAAAACACCCATCCCCTTTTGGTGTCCATTCAGGTGTGTCTCAAATAGGAGAATCCCCAAATTTGGGGGTTCTCTGTATTTCTCCTATAAAATAACTCAACAGGGGTACTCTCATAAAACGACACACGTGCACAACCACACATGTGAAAAACAAATAACTGAACAACATACAAATGAAGGATGCAAAAAAGGGCTAGTCAGCACCCAAACAACCTGGATGCAACCAAGTTGCGTAGATCAGCAAGTGGGTGGCATTGCCCAGCTGTGTCTCGGCCTCGGCTGCCCAGATATTTGTTGGGGCGCACACCCAACGAGAAGCTCTCCCATTCTCTACCTCGTCTTTTGTCCCGACCAACATTCTTTGTTCCTTGGAGTGCCTGCAGCAAACCGAATGCAAAAAATGACACGAGGGTGTCTCTTTGTTGGGGGACCCCAGGTCACTTTCTTGAAATTCTCTCTTTAAAAACGTTTGCTTGAGCCTCCGTTTCCGACAAGAAAAGGTGGAGTAACCAACCTTCTGACCTGAGTCGACTGGTGAAAACAAGTCACTGCGACCAACCAAAAGCTCGAAGTGCTCCAAAAAAGTCAGCCTTTTGATGAACCGCATCCGCCAAGCCCCTGCATCCCCTGCATCCCCTGTTTCAGCATCCGCCCATGCCCTTAAAACATGGTACTCGTATCGACAACCTTTGGATTTCCGTGGGAGTGGCTGGCCAAGTCGCGGGGACGTCAAAGGCCAAGGTCCTCACCGGCACTTGGCCCAGGTACTGCCTGGACCGAAAGCCGACAGCTTCTGAGCTATGGCCACAGCCGCTCAAATGTTCAAGTAGAGGCAGCGAAGTTGATGCAGAAAACACGCTGGTTGAGGGGTTGGCAAAGGGTCACCCTCAAGAATGTGGTCCATCAATTCTTGAGGCAGTTGAAATGATGGCACCGGGCCTGACTCCATGCGCTTTTGAATGTTGCTTCACAAGGGGGCCGTCATTTTGACAACCGCTGTCCAGGAAACGGATTGATAGAGGCTAGCCAATCGCTGCTTTCTGTTTGTAACGCCAATTAGATCGAAGGGCTTCTGCCAAAGGCGGGGGGTGTGCAGAGGTGGGACAATCCATGTACAATCCACGCAGAGAGGTAGGACAACCAAACGCGGGACATTGCAAATGCGCAAGTCCGCAGAATGCGAGGCACTGGGCACCGGAATGACCATAGAATCTTCAAGAGTCCAGGGCGTTGTGCACCCCACCTCCTGAGAACATCTGATCTTGTTGTGCCTCATGCACCCTACCTACCTTAAGTCCATAAGGAAACAGGGTGGGGATGGTGCCCCAATCAACCACATCATATGCTTCCCCACAAAATGGACGAATCATACATCTTTCAGGGAACTCCAGCGGTCACCCCGAATTCCTCGAGGGACAATGATCTTCCCACAAAGTAGTTTCAGCATCGCCAAACCGGCCGCGCCTGTAGCCACAGGTAATAAACTTGGTTCTGGTTCCGTTGAGGATGTTGATGATGTACTCAGCCTGGTGCTGCAAAGCGGGAGAAACGCGGTCAATGCCAGACAGACAAGACAACATGAAGGTATCCAAAGGATACCAACCACTCCGTGGACTTCTTTGCATCATGGAATGTTTAGCTACCCCCTAGCCAACTACCCCCCCCCCCGGTAATTTGACTGAGCTAAAACAAGCCAAACTCGGATCTTGACAAGCAGACGCTTTCCATCGTTCAAGCGGCCCAACGCCACTCCCTGGGACCCCACATGGTAGCAGAATGCAAATACTTGGGATTGCGCTGGCGTGTGGTAAGAGCATTTTCTGCACAGCTCACTACTCACCACTGATTGACGCTCACTTTCCCCCACACAAAAATACAAACTATGCAATGCACACAAATCAGGGAGAGTGTTCTCAGTTCAAGGCAATCGCATCTGGGTGTGTCTTTTTGGGGAACCATTTTTTGTGGCGATTTCTTTAACGCAACAAGGGACACCACCATTTTGGGGGTCGCCAAATCACTTTCTGGACTTGACACCGATGCCAGCCAAGAATAAGGCTAGCGTCTCAACGAAAGAAAAATAACTGGGCATGCCCGCATGTGCGCCTCGCTGGTGTTTGTACTCGACAATCGCCGCACCACCATCTTAGTAAAGGCCGGGCGAAATAACTCCGCCCTCCATCCGATAAATTTAAATTCAACTAAATAAGTGACATCTCTTGAGCTCGTGAAAGTCATATGGAATTTCCAGAGGAAGCTCTCCAAAACAAATAGATCATACATGCTCATACAAGTGATGTCCACCAAAGGGTGCCCAATCAAAGTTCATACTCAGCAGGCAGAAAGGACAAGGATTGATTTTTGAAATGATTCGTTGCCAACCCTAAGGAGCCGAAGAAGGTGGCAAACGTACCGCAAACTTTGGGCCAAATCTAGAACTGCTCCGAGGGCAATTGGGTGTTGCCCTTGGACTTCCTTCCCCAAGCAGCTTCCCCGAAAATCGGCATGTGGTTGGCTCGCTGCACAAGCTCTGAAGGCTGTCCAAGTAACGTCGGATGTTGTGGAAGTGGAGTTCTCCTCGGAGAAACCGCAGCTCCGTGCAGTCACGCGCCATTACTTGCAGATAGCGTGCAAGTTTTGGATTGAGTCGTTGCTTGCAAATGCGTGCTGATGTTTGGCTTGATGCTTGGCAGAGTTGGTGTTGTCAGCATGAACAAGAACCTTCAAACACTACATTCGCGATTTCGGATGCATTCGGTTCAAGCATGTGAAGCCCATACTTGATGCAATGCTACCCAAATTGATCCAAACAAATAGATAGCATGATAGCATGCTGAGGTGTGCTGGATTGTTTCCTATCTTCCTATTAGTGGCTTGACTTTGAACAAACAACACAACAGACAGGTACCCTTAAAAGAGACATAACCACATGGCCACACTTGGCACATGGGCACTGCCTGATACGTTTGGTGTCCTTTTGCTCTCCTTGTGATTCCGCGAGAGGGGAGTACCCAAAAAAGAACACACCCATGTCCAGCCTTTCTGTTGGCATTGTTTGATGCGCGCTTTGAGCTGTTCAATTGCCCAAATAGCCAGATTTCAGCATCCCCAGCACAGGACTCGGCCTATGGTTTTTGTCGGAAGGAGCTGGGAACTTGTTCCACCCGGAACGAATGTTAGAACTGTGAATTGCCAAACACTTGCACCACCCATATTAAAGCACCATGTCCAACTGTTGCGCTCTGTGAGATATGGCACGGACGTACCTTGTGGGGCCTTGCGTTGTTCCCGGGCTGCCCAGGGAAGGAGCATGCTGACTCCACACCTCCAAGCATGTACCCGGGCAAAGTCAACTCTGCTCCAAAGCATGCTTCATGCTTGTTCTTCTGTTGCTTGACTCAGCATCGCTCCCCTGGATGATTCACCCTGCACAAGACGAGGTCCCCCAAAAAAGGAAACATGGTGTCATACATCAGACCAACTTGCAAAACAGCCCCGATGCCCATCGGTCTTCCGATCTCTCTGGCAACTGAGTCTGCTAGCTTGGTGTTCACCTCGTACCGGTGTCGCTGATGGCCTGCATGACCATTTGGCCAAAGCCGGTTCACGCCCCTCGCAGTTCACTCCGGCCAAGGCACATCGGACAAGTCGGCATCTTCGTCAGAGTCATCCTCCGAGCATGGCGTTGGCCCCTGACCTTCGGTGCCTGCCACGCCTCTGAAGCACACCTCAAAAGCCTAAACCACTGTCCACTGTCGCACACAGCCCCGGCTTTGGCTTGCAAATGCCTCTGCTGAGAAAAGTGTGGGACGGTATCGCAAAGGGCGAACTATTCATAACGAACTAAAACTGGCATATTGATATGACCAAATAGGGTACCAATGTGAGCAAGGGCCAACTTGCGTCTTGGACCTGTGCCACATTTTTTGGCGCCCTGACTGTAAGTTCAGCGAGCCTGAACAGCATTCCGACATTCAGCCAAGTCGAGGGTTCCTACTACACACCAAGCCACCCGGGAGCAAAAAGGAGTTGCTGTACCGCTCCATCTCCAGTAGATAACTAAAGGATGTGGTATATTCCTGTTTCCTTTCCTGTGGCGGGTCTAGTAAGGCGCACGGGAAACCCTCTGTGAGTCTAGGAGAGCTGCATGAGTTCACGCAAAAGAGCCGGAAGGCAACCTCGTGAAAGCCAACTGCAAGTAAGAGCTGAAAAACGATGCTCCAGCCAAACAGACATGGGCCTTAGGTTCTGTGAGGGCTTGGTGACCATAATGCGAGGAAATGTATTGCTGCCCCCTCCCGCAAGCCACCGGTTTATCAACCTCCCCCAGCACTTAGGTTTATAAAAGCAGGGAATCAAACACAACAAACAAGCGCCTGACTTCCTGCATTGGAATTGACACATTCTGCATACTCATGTTGTTCACAGATTCACAAGCTTTCTGGTCATAATTGGAATCTACTTGTGCCTCAAAGGGAACAAGGAGTACATTTGGGTGCGCCCAGCGTCTCTTGTGGGAAATTTGGGTGGGCTCTGCCACCGTCCTGCCCAACCAACACTACACCACCAGTCATTTTGTTAGTTGCTCACGCGAGTTTGTCTCCAAAAAGAGGACACGCCCAAAGGGGGCGGTTTTCCTTTGGTTTCCCTTAAAACAAAGAAAGAAAACAGCCAAAACCTCCCACCCAGACCCACGTGCTCCGTGCTCCCCCGTCCCGGCCTCCGTGACGTTCGTGGTGCTCGTGGTGGTGAAGGTGGTGCTGGGCAAGAGCTGGGGCAACTGCTCAGCTGCCACCAGCTGCAAGGACGACGCGAAGCTGGAAATCGCCTCAGTCCACTTGGCCATGGGTCAAAATCCAAATCGTACCCCCAGTCAACATCCCAATCCCCACTAAAATAGGTTCTAAAATGGGTGGTGCACCTGCCCCAAAATCAGTCCACTTCGGCACAAGGTTCCGTTCTTTTTTACAACCCCAAAGTCGACTTAAACCAAGGGGTGGTTAATTTCCCCAAAAGGGAACCGCTGGGTTTAGGTCGGACCCTGCTTCGGCAGATTGGGACTTTTTGTATTTGGGGATGGGGTGGGTTGGGGATTGGCGGACTTGTTGTTTGCGGACAGGGGTGAGTTTGTTGTTTGCATGAAGAAGTCAAGGGACCTTTGATAGGCTCTTTTGCAAGACAATCCCGGCCCGGGATTGGAATGCGTGCTTCTTGCAGGGGAATGCGAGCGAAAAGCCAAGAGAAAGCTCTCTCAAGCATTGTGTAGCTGTGAGACGGGCAATAGGGCAGCCAATCCATGAAAGGGTGTTTATAGATGTTTGTAGGGTTTCTGGGTTGCCCCCTGAGCAAAAGGTCAAACCTTTTGCAGGCTCAACGGAAAAATAGGTAGTTGTTCCCAAAAGGTCTACTGGGCATAGGTGTCCTTGATAGAAAATAGATGGCCCTGGTAGATGATTGAACGACTAGTCTAGGAGTAACTTCCCCATTCTTTCCAGGGATCCTTCTTCTAGAAAACCACTCGAAACCCTGGGGAAATGGCTGGTTGTTGAAAAGAACGATGGTTGAAAAGAATGGGGAATCAACCCAGGGCCGTCTTTTTTTAAAAACCAAACCAACCAAAAAGGACACCTATGCTAAGGGGCCTTTGGGGTCGCACCAAAGGCCAGCCATGGCTTCGGCTCCCGGTCTTCCTTGTTCAAAGCTGTGGCGCCAGAGTTGAGGCGATAAGGTTGCTGTCCACCCCGGCAGCCAGCAGCTGGTCAGCCAATGTGATCCTGAGGCCGACCGAATTGCCTTCAGCATGTTCAGCCACTCCATGTTTTACGTCACAGCCTAAGCCACTTGAATTGCGAGGTTGTGGCTGTGCCATGTATGTGCTAGTGTACACTCTGCCAAAAATGCATCGCAATAGCTGGACAACTCTGGGTTTGCCTGCAGTTAAACAACCTTATGTTTCCTTATTATTTCATTTGTTAGGGGGGTGGGGGGGTTGGTTGTTTAGACCAATTATGCCAGCCCCTGCGAGTTCCACTTGCCCCATATGAGAATTCGGTGTGGGGTTGCGCGTGCAGTCCCTTCATTCAATGTGCATGTAGTGTCATCACTCAGAAAGGCCATGAATGACAGCTCACGATTCCTTGCCTGAGCACTCTTGGAAACTGGCAGAATGGGCGGCATCACTTGGCTAAGCAATCAGGACGAGTAATTATCGTGCAATTAGTTCATATCGTCACTGACATGCAGTGGATCAAACTCTCTAGCAATAGTTCAGCATGAGCGCCATATGTTCACAAGCGTTCACCCTCCTCTTCCCGTGAGCAACTTAACCTTGTGAGACTAATATCAAATGATGATGTTCCGTCACCAGCTCGTGGTTGCTACAGTGCTTTAGCTTCAACACGTGTCCATGTTGTCATGGAACAGAGCTCTCTCTCCCTCTCTTGTTATTTTTCAAGTTCCATGACAACGATGGGAGCGTATCTGCGCAAAGATCCCGCCTGAAGTTGGTGGTGTCCGCACTGATCTGCGCTGCTGCGTTTGTTGCAAGCGTGGCCTGCACAGCAAAAGACAACACATAAACACATGTCGAACACGCAACTGGGCGTTCTTTTCTGAGGGAACCCTCCCTCCAAGAAACCATGAAAACTCACAGGAGGGTTTTAGAAGACTTTGGGGAAGTCCCTGCCCACTTCTAAGAGTGAAACCTTGCAATGACAGTGAACCACCCATCTGGGGAGGTTTCCCTCTTTTCCAAATGCTCAAGCTAAGAAGTTCACACAGGAACCTTGAAGGCTGGGCGCAGTCTGACGCTCAGTCCGTGTGGCATCCTTCCTCTACCATTGGGACCCCCTGACGTCCCGTGGGCCATTTGGGCGCAGTCTTTGGTTGGAGCATCCGTCTTCTGTTTTGTCTTTCCGGGCAACCGATGAATTTGAGGTCTCGTCTCTTTTTTGTTTTGCCTTCACAAAAACCCAAAGGACTCCGAAGCCGTGTTGAGCCCCTTCGCCTGATTGGAGGCCATCACCACCACGTAGTCTGCCCGCCAGTTGGTGGCAAGACGCCGCCCAGCGCCTGCCACCTGGCCCGGCGGGTCACCCGTGGTTTGGACTGGATGTTGGAGTTGAGTTATTGAACCCCCAAATCCTCTTGCAGTATCTCGAGGGAAGTAAGCCATTTAGGGGTAAGCTGAGAGTGCCAAAACTAGAGACCCCTCCGAATGGTTGCTGTGTTATTGATTTGTTTGGCTTACTTACCTGGCTTGTGCTTGGAAACCTTCATCTTTGCTCATTTTGGTGGTTCGGGGTCTATAGACTCCTTGCATGCCTACGTGGAAGCATCCGGCCGCTGCAAAGGGGGAGCTTCAAACTTGGTGTTGCTTGCAGGCAGAATCAGTTGTTCGGGTTGCTGCCCGAGTCATCCACGACCCACAACTCAGGGTATTTAAAGAGTATGAAAAGGGTGGCGTTGCGCACCCGAAAACCACGGCGCCTGCCCCTAAGCTTCAATTGCGGGGCGTGACCCGTTCCAGCCCATTTCCCAGCGGCGCACCTGGACAGTGACGTAGACAGAGGATGGGTCCACCTGATTCAGGGATCGGCTCACATGTGCGAGCGCTTAAGACAGTTCCAAGGCTCAGTTGATCTTCCCCATAGGTAGACTTCAGCCCGGTTGAGTTCCCGTGGGAAGCCCCTGGGTGGGGTTATCAAACGGGGGCTTTCTTCAGGGGTTGCGGGTCAGTCAAGGGCCCAGTTGGACAACTTGACATCAATAATGCCCCTATCGACTTCAGGGAACATGAGTCATACTGGAACGGGCCCCTTTTGCCGCACTTCCATTCGTGCATTAGGTGAGGATGGTCGGGATGTGCCAAATGACTCCTTTGGCCCCCTGCTCGCTCGATCCCTCGAGCATGGTCGTGTGGAGCCCGGTGGTTTGGAGGTCACGGTTTCTCATGTACCACAAGAAGGAGTTCAAATCCCCGGTTCCGACCAATCCAGGTGTTTTCTGTTTTTTTTCTTTCTGTTTTTGTTGAGGCTCTTGGAATATTTGAAAGATTTTGAAAGCACGAACACTTTCAGGGGGGACACCATCAAAGCTACCCAATGCTACCCACTTCAGGGCTTTCAGGGAAACCCTTAGCAAAGCCCTCATCTTTCAAACAACAACTAGTTTGAAGAACTGGTGGAAAATGAGTAAACACCACCCATGTCTAACGTTAACCCCTCCTCCCCACTGCATGATGGGACACCTAGGGTCGATCCTTTCAAGCTCCTTCATTTAAGGTCGGGTTTTTCTTGGGGTCCCTCGCAACCATATTACTCGACCGTCCATCAGCCCCGCGTCCGCCTGCAGCAGCTCTGCCAGGGCCTGCTGCAGGGCGGCGGCCACCTGCTGCGCCGTGGCGCCCGCGAGGCTCAGCTCCACGCTGCCCGTCAGCACCTCTGAGGTGGCGGGGGGGGCTGGCGGCGGGCGGCGGCCGGGGGGGGGAATTGGGCCCGCTGTTTTGGGGCTCCAACGGGAAACCAAAAGAAAAACCGGGAGATTGACTGAGGCGATGAATCTTAAGAGTTGAAACCGCATCAAGTGCTTGATGGGCATGAATCTCCACCATAAAGTCCATCAATGGGGAAACAAACGAACAATCAAAGTCCAATATATTTTGGGTCCAAATGCCTCTTACCAAGTTCTGGACACGTTCCCATAGTTGTAGTTTTGTCGGACATTTGGTGGGTTCTCCCATGTCCCTCCCAAATTGAAAACGAATCTCATCAAAACCATCCAATGGGAATCCCAAAACAAACACACAAACATCCACACGACCTTCCAATAGCACAGGTAAACCCACACGCCGGCAATATTGCCAGTGACTCGCATCAAGGGAAACTCAATCTGAAGCCAAAGTTGGAACATCTGGATGAAGGAAAACAAAATTGGGAAACTGACTGCGGACCATGGATGACTCCTCGCACCCTTCCTTCCATGCCGGGCGGAATTGAGAAAGGGAAAAATGGTTGGGGCACCTTTTGTGGTGAAAACGCATCATCGCTTCCTGGGAGAAATACGAAAAGTCATGAAAAGTCGCAAACCAGAAACCGGAGAATTAGCAAGGGACCTTTATGGGTGACTTTGTTTTTCGCCCAGGTAAGCTGGCTATATTTTGCCCAACTTTTTACTTGGAGAAGAGGAGCAGTGTATATCTTCAAGTCTGCCCTTAGTGCCTTGGCTCAGTGGCAAAGAAGCACTCCAAAACTCACCAATGAGTTGATCTTCTCCATGTCTGCACATTCGTGTACGCAACATGTCCGATTGCTCTGTTTTCTGCAGGCCACGGTCGGCATTTGATCACGTGTCCCGCGGACAAATAGTAAACTCGCGAGCGGAGGCCAGGTCACCTACAGAACATGGCGGACATTAACCTTTACTCGTGTGGTTTGCATGTGAAATTGCGCACCATTGCTGTTCCGTGTTTGCTTGCTTCCCGGGAATGTATTCATGGAATTCCCCTCCGTATCTCCTGCCACAAAACCAAACGCGACGTGGCCATCCTTGACACCAAGCCGTTCTGGGGTTCTGAATACGAACTCCTCATGTGTTTCTCGGGTTTCCTGGGTGTCCATTTAAAACCCAACTCCGCAAGGGAACCCATGAAACCCCAACGACGCACGACCAATCGGAAAAGAGATGAGTCCAAAGGACGCGTCTTCGCTCAAAGCGAGCATGTCCTGAGGCTCCGGCGGCCACGACATCGGAGGAGAGCCTCGGGCGAGCTCTCAAAGACTCACCCGAGATTCCCACCGAAGGGTTCGTCTCCAAGTAGGGGAACCACAACAAGGATTTGACAAACAAACCCAGAAAAGGGTAGCTTCAAAACAGCACACACGCACAAACGAGAAAGGCACAGTTGTCTTCCATATTGTTTGGATTGAAAACAACCTAGAAAAGGGCCCCTTCAAAACTGCACACACGCACACACCAGAGAAGATCAGAGAAGCACCCACCTCCCTACCAACCCATCTGCCAAATGAATACCCGACAATTGTCCATCGAGCCGATGGGGCATGGACAATGCAAAACCGAAACCCAACTAGCAACAAACGGTTGAGAATTCCCGCTAAGAACCGATACCCTGGTTAAACTATGTGTTGCTCATCCAACGTCGTTCACCACCACCCTTGATACCTGGATGCATATCCAAACCACTGAAACAACGCCAACTTCATGGTTGTCAACCTGGTCCCGCAGTGATCAAGCAGTACATCCAGCAATAGATTAGGGGCAGGTGACATACTCTGCATTGGTGTACGTTTCTGCATGGTCGGGTGTCTTTCAAACCAAGCCCAAAAACGGGTGCCTCAATATGACACACGGACACATACATAATGTACATTTACATAGTAGACGGAGCAGGATGAATCTCTCGCCGCCCCCCGGGATGCCGTGCAAGGCGAACGAGTGGGACTGAGTATCGGCATCGCCAAGGTGCGTCGAGTTCTCCACGCAATCGACGCCCAAGTAGAGGTTGTAGTGTATCACCTGACGGTGCGCACATACATTCTCTGGTCACTTAGCGATTCGATGCTGCTGAGTTGGTTGCGTTTGGTTTGAATTGGCTCCGATTGTGATAATTTGAACGGCCTGGAGTTACCTGGACAGTCCTTCAACTTGGCCGTGAATATCAGCACTCGTTGACCCCATTCGCATCACTTCCACTTTGTCTTTTCACAAGTGTTCAAATGCTATGTGAGACCGTCCAAGTGGTTGGGCACGTTGGAATGATGTTGCGGACATTCAGGTCAACACGACTTGGCCGCTGCTTGGCGCGCACCTGGGTATCATCTTTGGCTTCCAACCAAGTGAGAGCTCCGCCCACATCCGTGAGATCCAGGTCCAGATCTGTAAATTCCTCCTGGGACGGCAAAGCGTATCGAGTCTGGCAAGCAAGCGACGACCAAACAAACACTAAAGGACATGTGTTGATCTTTCAGCCCCGCTACCAAGAATCAAACCAGCAAGATTCCCTTCGCAACCCCCAGAGAGCACATGGCGAGTCTCCAAAGCTCATTAAGACCTCGCTAGACTTTGCCAACAACAAAAAAACTTGGCCGGTTCAGATCGGTGTTCCCGCGTAGTGGTCAACCCCAAATCAGCTTCCCTTTACAAGGGCACACTTTGAGCAATCGTTGAGGGGTGTTCGCAAGCGGGCCAGGCAGTTTCTTCTCCTAAGTATTCTTAAACAAGGCAGCGAGGGCTCTTGCCCGAAGAGCCTTGTGACCAACTGTGTCCCCCAGCCCCCTCAGCGTGTTCTTTGATGTTCTTGTGTCGTGTTCTCGGCGTGTCGAATGCACTGGCCGCCCAGAGTCTGTGGTCGCTGCGAGTTTCAGCGACGAGTGAAGCACACTTTCCCCCTTAAGTAAAGAACAGGAGATCTCTGGGCCATTGCTCCCAGATTCTGTGGTAGCATTGCTAATAAGCATATGTGTGCGTGCATGTTGTTGTCTCAAGCGCGGACCAGGTTCACGGAGGGTCAACCTGGTTGCCACCTTCTTTCCTTGTGGCCAAGCATGGACCAACTGGGCCGGCTGACGGAAACCAAGAGGAAAACCACCATGGCTTTGGTTCCTGGAGTTTGACACATATGTTGGGCACAAAGCAACAAAACATGGGAGCGGTGGCCAGACCTGGGTCACTGCGGCTCACTGCGGCTCCTGAGCCACGAAGAACAAGGTATCCGACAGCTCGGCGGCCACTGGTGTCGTCCTCGGGAGCATAGGGCCGAGTGAGCAAACAGCGAGACGGACGGCGCGGCTTTTGGAGCATGGGTTGGCGGACGCTCATAAAGATGGGGACTTCTGCACTCAAGATAAGAAAATCAAGAGCTAATTAATTGTTGGTTCCCTTTTGATTTCCCCTTTAAACCACCCCAAGCCAAGTGTACATGGGGCTTGGCATGGAGACCCAAGTAAGTGTGGCCAGGGGAAGTGCCGCTGCCCGTACCAGTCGCGAACTGTGGTTAGCCGGCATAAGGACAAGACAGCGTGACATCCTCGATCCCCGCAGGCGCTACTGTGATCTCTCACAGTGGTACTAAACGCAGCCACTGGGCCTCACGTGGGCTGCGAGATGCACGGCTTGGACGGAGCCGAACAAGAACATGCCGTAGGAATTTTAGAGGTCCCTGGCTTAAGAAGCGCCAACAGAAAGCGGAACATTCAGAGCCCAACTACCGCAAGTCTATGATGCATAAAGAGGAAGGGGATGGAAGGGGTCATTGGACCCTCTTCCCGGCGAGGAGCTGCTCGGCAAGGGTAGACTTGGTGTACACCAGAAGCTCTGTGAAGTCGCCCAGCGGCGTTTCCTCGGTGAAAACCACCGAACAGGGGGGCGCCTCCAACACAAATCCCACTTTCGGAGGTCTAAGAAGAGAAACCCCAGAGAGGGACGCGCCCCTCAACTTCCATTGTTTCAGACCTAAGGTGGCGATTTTGTTTGACCAGTAAACTCCAACGGTTGAGGGGGGAAATCCAGTGACACCTGCCAAATCCCAGGTTGTCTCTTCGTCATGGCTCTTACTGTTTGGACTGCAATTTGGTCAGGTACATCCTGGCACGTGACTCTTGCCATTGGCGTGCCAATTGGTCGCTGGTTGCCACTCAAACAGGGAAACCATTGCCCTTCTGATGGCGCTTGAAACGGGGGCCTGAGGTTCTCAGAGCCCAGAACCTCTGCCGAGTTGCCCAGTGACCCAAGCAGGGAGCCCAACGGGAAACCCACCAAAGAAGCAGGAAAAGGATGCCACTAAACAACCGGGGCAAGGGTTCCAGAACAAGGAGCGCATGCGAAATCCCCAAAGCGGGCGAAGCGCACGCACAGGCAACAACTCAAAGTACATGTGTGTACCTCCCTCCAGATACATCTATCCCTTCCTCCCAAACTCTACGCATTGCTTCAACCGCCATCGAAAACGATACAATACAACAGCAAAGGCTGAACAACTTAGCCACTCTGAAGCTAGGCACCTCTCCCTTTCGACTTGTGAGTGTGTATGTGTGTTGTGTGTTTGTGTTTGCGTTAATCAAAACATCAAAGCAATGATTTCGTGTGTTGTTCCGAAGGCGGAACAACCTTGGGTGAATTGACCATTCCCAAAGCCACCCCAGTGGTGGCTTGGGCGGATTTCGCCCTGGCGGCACAACGCAGCAGTTTCCAACCTACGTAGAGTGACCCTGCACTGTTTTGAAGGCGCAGCCGAGCGAGTGATTTCCCACAAAACCAGTGAGTTTTCAAGGACACCGTTTCCCGATCAGCTCAAATTATCGTGAACTGAAACCATTTGGACTTGCTTCAAGTGAGGGAAACCCTCAAAGATACATCAACAACCCCACCAAGGGTACCCCCCGAACACGTGCCCATACAATCCTCAAGATGTCTCTCAACCCCAAGACCACTCCCCACCACCCCCCCGCCACCCAGCATCCCAGGGGCAGGCGCCAGCGTCGCGTCGCTGGCTCCAGGCTCCGCCGAGGCGAAAGATCGAAGCTGAGAGCCGCTGAGGTACAGCTCGTAGCCCTAGCGAGCTGTGAGTGAACGGCCAACCCTTGTGACGGTGGCTGAAACTAAATTCAAAGATAGGGGACCATCCCCCCAAATATATGTATATATTATATTATATTATATACATAGAAAACGAATGAAATGATGGTGTTCCTTTTGGATTTCCTTTTAAGCCACCTCGAAAGGAGGTCCCTCCAAACGAGACACACCCAAATCAGCTTTAATCATGGTTCGTCAAGAGCTTAATGTTCTAACATTGATAAAGCCATTAAATAACCTCCTTTGGGATTCACCTTGAATTGGGGAGCCAGGCAGGTGGGAGGTGGGCTTGTGGGGGTTCATAGGGTTCGATGGGTAGAGAGGGGTTAACGTTGAGGCGAGTTTTGGTGGGTTAGGCGGAATCAGGTGGGTGTTGGTGTAAGTTGGTTAAGGTGGTTTAGGCTTGGGTTCGTGTCGGGGCTTCGGTGGGTCAAGGCAAGGTTGGGTCACTTTGTTAGACCCACTCGTTGGTCAGATGCACTCGGATTACCCTGCCTGAAGTCTATCCATGTCAGCAGGCGCCAGCCAGGAAACCTAAGCGGCCAGGGCTTCAAAAAATGTTGCTTAGGCTTCCTTTTGGCTCATCCAAGTAAGAAACGCGCGTGGTGCTTTGCCGCCAAATGCAAGCTCCCATGCCAGGTCTCTCAACCTCGGAGATAGTCATGGCAAAAACACAAAAACCTGTTGACACCGACAAATATTGCTGCCATCCATCCGCCTTCATTTCATTGGCGAACTGTTCAACCTAGCACACTGTTCGGCAGATTTTGCGACACACGGCAAGTTGCCGAATTCTTGACATGAACATAGGACAGACTTGCCACTAATTAGTAGGGCGCATTTGGCTGAATATCTGCTTTAATTATAAGTGCCCATTACGAGCAACGTGCACTAGGTCTAGGTTTGGTGGGTGGGACAAAGCACAGTCACCGATGCGTTTCAACTCTTGTGCCCGCCCCTCAAGCCAAGAGAACGTTGCCACCCAGCTCGTTCAGGTCCAGGTCATGATCAACAAAGCTCACCTGCGGCATCCGGGTGACATCAAAAGCGAGTTACTCGGCCCAATTTGCAAGCCCAACGCCCCATGAAAACGCCAGTCCGTCGTCCAAGAACTCTGCGATGGCTGAGAAGTAGCTGCCTCCCTTTCAATCAAAGCTCTACATTGCCCGCCGCCACTGCACCATCCAAGGTAGGAGAATATAGAGGCCTAATTAATTTGAACGTGTGTGTGTAAGGAGGGGTTAACACCAGTCTTACTTATGATCATGAGTAAAATGTTGCGATATTTGGCCCGTTGCAAAAAGCATCGATCACTGGATATCGCCGATTGCTATAGTGGGATGGAACCTGATCTGCTGATCCGCAAGTCTGAAACTCCAAATGTTCTGAATTTTGCACGACCGTGTGGTCCATTGTCCAACCCGTCTCCGACCAGGGTTGGGCCACCTTGCTGAAGCATGATACACCAATTGTTCAAGCAACCTCCTGGCGGCTCCACTTGCAAGGGGTCTGGTTGTCTAAGCCAAAAACCCACCAGGTCACCAAGCAAGCAAGCAAAAAACGCAGACCTGCCCCCGCCTCCGACACACTGGCGGAGCGGTCCACCACTTGCAGCGCCGCAGGCGTGGTCTGCTCTTGGAGCTTAGATCTCGCCTTCGACTTGATTCGCTTCGCCGGTTGAATCGGGTGACGACTCCAATGGGTGTCCCGATTGGATGCCCGTCAGATGGATGCTACACACATGATTGTCCAGTGCAAGCAATTAGAACCTTCATTGGAACGGGGGGTCCTCTAATCGAAGCTTCAGCCGCCCAGGTTTGTGATGAAGGACCTCACCACACTCTCGCATCCATTTAGTTGTGCAGGTTGGTGGATTGTTATTGATCAGATCGGTTCCGAGTGAGAGGTCATCTGCAGGAAATGACCGCTTTTAAGATTGCAGCGCTGTTGCGTAGCGGGGGAATTTGCCAGTTGCTTGATTCCTCAAAGACCTCCAGCAAAGGACAAGGGCGTTTGACCGGTTTGGTTGCAACCCCTACAGTAATCACTTCTTCTTGCGGGCGCCCCTTATAAGTTTTGCGAGAAACAGGAAGCCAAGCGCAACCTGTGACTTTTTAGGTGTTTGGGGGAACCAATTGCCGAACACACTGAAGCAAAGTGTCAGATCTCAAATGCTAAAGTCGTCACAACTGGCAGCATTGAACATGTTTCACTGTTTCACTTTAAAACTGCAATGAATCCCTTCAAACAAGTGTACACAGCGTATCCCTCTTCTTGTTGTTTTGTTCAACCCAACAAGCAAACAAACAGACAAAACAAAGACACAGTGACCTTCAAGATTTGAAAAGGACTATCTGAACAACAAAACCGTGATGCTCGAAGTGTCATGAAGCATTGGGGTCAGAGCTCAGCTGACCAGATAACGCAAATTCAAAAGCTTTGTCAGGTGAGTCGTGATAAAACCAGGAATGCAAGTGGTGTACCCAAAACAATCAACAAAAACCCACAAAGGCCAGCCGAACCTATTATAAACTCCTCATGGTTGGGAGTTGGGAGGCTCCACCACTACCCTCCAATCAGCTAGGATTTGTGGCTCAAATGTATGCCCAGTTGCATAGACAAGCAAGTAGGCTGGGAAGTCCACGTCGGTGTCCGGCGGAATGGGAATCTGGTTCACACCCACAACGGTGCTGCCCAAGTAGGAGCGGTTCTCGCCAAAGGCGTCCGACAAATACACCCAGTAGTGCGTCACAGGGCCTCAGGCCAGTAATGCCTCAAGCGCATAACTTGTGCCACTTCCCGTGGAAAACCAAGCAGGGGCCGCGGAAAAGCGCGGATAGCGGAAGACTACCACTGGGTGGCCAGTCATCCCACATCTGATACAATCGAAAGGTTCCCCGATCCTTACCTTCACCAGTCCTGGCTGATTTGGCACTCCGATTCCATTGGGAGATTGTGTTTGTGCTCCGGGGCAATTTTGAAAAAGCAGCACAACCACTATTGAAAGGGGAACAGCAAAGTATGGATTGGCTGCACACAAGTAGCGGAACACATGGGACACGTGTTGAATTTAATACGTTAAACTCATTCGCCAACGATAGCAGGTTGTGAAAACCTTCGCATCCAAATTAAGCCACCCACTTTTGACCATCCGCAAAATAGCCCCAGGATTCTATTGTCTGCTGTTTTCTCTCTGGGAAAACATACGTTGCGTGCTGTCAAACTTCATGAAAGGTCAACATGCCTCAAGCTCCAAAAAAACATCTGCCACCTGAGTTTGAACAAGGTGCTACACACTTTCCCCCTTGAGGATCTAGCGGCCAGCAATTCGCGAAGCAAGATTAGCGTCAGAATCAAGATTAGTCTCAGAATCATGGAAAGAAACATATTATTATTCTTTATATAGTGATGCACCTCGTCAAGAGAGACGAATGAACACACAAAAATGTGGGGGGCCGCCTCTCGCTATATCCCGAGTCCGGCAGCATGGTCACTCCACTATTTGGCTAGCAAACCAAGGGTTCACTTGCTTCCGACAGCAACTGGGTGTTTCTAGGGGTCGTCGAAAACACCATACTCTTTTGGTTTCCTCTTGGGAAACCAACAATTTGAGCGGGAGCCAACAGGTCAACAAAGTCCGAAAGTAGAAACAATAAAACATATGTCCTTAGATGCTTTTCACTTCCCCCTCGAGGTTACAACCTACAACCACTATAAAGGGCATATACCTCCCGTGTTGAAATCATCTTACCAGGTGGCCCACATCCTCTGCGGGTGTCCAGGACAAGTTCCCGCCAATCTGGCCCAAGTCCAGGTCGTCATCCTCAAAGCTCACGTTCGAAGCCTTCTCCGCTGTGTCCTGAGCAAGCCCTCAACTGAATTGAAAAACGGCACGAGCAATAGGGGATCAATTCACTCATAGCAAACTACCCGTCCAGCGAAACCCAATCGCCAATTCCGCGGGGGGGGGGGGGGTATCAAAAAACATGTGAGTAACATCGGATATGGCCTCCTCCTAAGAGTCAAAATCAACACTTGGTATCAACGTGGTCCACCCAAGCAACATGTCGAAGAAACCAGAGGGCCGCCGCCTCATGGTTGGGACTGTCCATGAGCTTCATCTACCTCGTTGTGATCGTTGCCAAGGAATAATTCCTCGCACCAATGTCTACTGGAGTCCACGCAGGTCAGACGACGTGCATAAGCAACAGCGAACTACAGGAGTGCATGGGAATGATAGGCTTCAAGGTCTTGACAAGCGAAATAGCAGCACCACCCCCATGAACTCTTGCATTGGGTCTATAAAGGTTCTAAGGACTAATGTAGCCATTTACTATAACGCCCCATGAAAACCAGGCAGAATCACCTAGTGTTGAGCATGCTGCATTGAAATTTCCACCTTGCGCTACCCTCAGCTAGAAAACGGCTTGGATGCGCCTTTGGTGGATTTCACCAGTTCTCTTCTGAATATTCTTTGAATATCCTACAGGGGTGGTCCACAAAAGCCACATCCAAGCCGTTGTCTTGACCTCTGCCGCAGGGCAAGTCCCGTGGAAAAAAACATCGACTGCGACCTGCGAGGAACATGGGGTTGGCTTCTTGTTGCTCGTATGTTGCTATGTTGCAGGAAACAACGCGAGTCAACAAAAAAAACAACTGTCATTGAAAGGGTCTACCCGCACCAATGCAACATAACTTACAGGGCGCCCTCATTTGTGCATGGTACCTGGTTGGGACTATCCCTTGCTAACCTTCACCTTCCCGAATTTTGATCACCCTGTGACATAGCGTATAACAGTAAAAGCATTGCCAGCAGGCCGATTCTATGACGGTGTCTGCTATCTTCGGGGCAAGTCTGAATTTACACGAAATCGAGAACACGAGCCATGGACTATAGAAGCCCAAAGAGAGGTGCGATCAACAAAAACACACACTCATATAACAAAAGCGAGGACCAGCACAAAGGCGCTTGTTGAGTGCCATCATACATACAAGCATCAGTTCTTGTGTTGATCAACAACTGTTTGATTGGCACTGTGGATCCCAGTAGAAACAACAATGCAAGCAGCCACATCCAACCGCAAACGCCTGGCAAATCAAGGCCAAAACCTCAGAACTTCCTTTCCACTCGCAATATTTAGGTCATCCGTAGCTTCATGTGCTGGCACTGGCAAAAAGCCAATTGCAAACCATCACATTCCATGGGCAAAGTGATGTCTGGTGATTGAAGGTAAGCTGTATACCCTGCCAAGAACATGGAACTTGAATAAGGCCCAGAACATCATCCTCTCGAAGAACCTTTCTTGTAGGTTCCGTGTCTGTTCTTGGAAGCATAATTACACGTGTAGAACAAGTATTTAGCCTTCATGCACAGAAGTCTTGAATTCTCAAGTGCCAGAACCTAAAAGAGGGGTGAGTCAAACCCTTGCCATAGGCCCAAGTAGTTCTATCCAACCGTGGCAAGCTGTCAGGAGCGCGGACTCCCGAAGCTTTCGGAATCTGAGCGTGGCTCAATGAAGGCCAATGAGGAGGGCGTGGTTTGCTCTGTCAGATCCTGGGCAAAGCGAAGCAAACGCGGGCGACTGCCAATGGCTGGAATTGGCCTTCCCTTTAGTCGGTATTTAATGGGCTACCTAAACTTCCAATCAAATCGTGAGGATTTGTGAGGACTTGTTTCCGGCAGGCCACCCGAACAAATTACAGTATGTTCCCAATACAATTGTTCAGGCACACGACTTCTGCGAGCACCCAGCTGGAGCTCTCTGAGGGGCTTAGTGGCGTTATTGGAGGCCCGAGGCCTGTGAGGACTCAATCGGTCAACTCTTGACTGGCAATGATGTGGTCCGCAATAGGTGTGCCACATACTGAAATCAGACCTGCGGTCAATGAGAAGCAACCAACCTACCGTCATACACTGTTGCATGTGTGTGTGTGTGCGCGCAGTGGTGCAGTTGCTCAGAAGCTCAGTCCACCTTCCAAAACCAACAGCAGCAAGTGTGATGGACAGCACACAGCCATGCTATGCAAATGATCTCGCTGAGGTCGGCGCAGACTTGGTGTAAACCAGCACATGGGAGAAGTTGGCGCGCGCCGTGTCGGCGGGCAGCAAAAGCGTATTGCCTTAGCAGCAAAGCTTGCTTCCAGGCTAGCAAAGGACGACTCGCCAACTGGACAAAACATTGGCTTGGACATACAAACTAGGTGTGTTCTTTCGAGGTTGGTTTGTGTTAAAGGTAAGCCAAAGGAAGCGCACCCAATTTGCGGAGCGGGGGTCCCTTCTTTTGAGAAACTACCATCTTACGTTTAACAGTAGAAGCTTACATTTGGAGGTTTGTCCTGGTCGTGGCCTGTCCAGTTCCACTAGCTTTACCTCTCTACACCAATACTAAACCAACATTGATACAAAGTTCGGACCTCAAGGGCCATACCAATCAACTGAATCCCACAAAAGGAATTGCGTTCGCCGACGAAAAAGGAGAACCACCCCTGAAAACTATGGGTCCTCCGGATTCATCCCGAGTTCACATGAAAGAACACAAGCTTGACTTGAACCGATAACCCCAACTTAGGTTTGTTTGTTTTCTCTCCTTTACAAATGCAGTAAATCACCCATTTTGTGGGTTCCTCCACTGAGAGGCAAGCCCGAATGCAAGCATGAGGCTTTACCGACTCGCACACACACTCTCTTTCAGCACTGTTTTCTACGTCTGCGTCACATCACGCGCGTCTCACTGCAGTTGCACGCGGGCGTCACCTTACTTCTTGCTCTCGCCGGAAAAAGCGTAGTGCTGACCCACCGCGACCAGCAGGACGACCACGGCAAGCACGATGCGGCCTCTTGGGCTGAACATGGCTTGGAACATTGACTTAATGTACCCCCAGAGCTTCATCAGCTTCAGCATGTAAGGCATGACTCTGGAGATCATCTTGGCGTGCGTGTCGCTCACTTCGATGCCTCGGCATCAGGCAGCTCAGGGCCCGTCTTTTCATTTCATGACTGTGGAAGAAATAACATCGCCAGATGAGTTTTGTTTTATGGGATTGCTCTTTGCTTTGGCTTTGTGCCCGTGGTTCGTTTTTACCCGAGAGATTGCGGTCCCAGTTGTCCCCTCACAGAGTCACAGCCCCCAAAGATGTGTTACTCGGCGTGGCTGAAACCGGTACTGGCGGTGCTGGAGATGGCGTCATTGTTGTTGTCGGTTCCATTGCGGTTACTTCCGTTTGCGTAAGCCTCCTAGAAAAAGAACTATGCAACTTCCAGTGTCCGGTAGTGCTTTTGAAACCTGCAGGGACAAACATGTCTTCTAAACAAATACTCTGGAGCAAGCGGAAGGTTGTGGTTGTTGCCGTTGTTACTCTTGCTTGAACGAGGTGTTGCCTTGTGCCCTACCTGAAAGCCTCCGTCCATTAAGCTTGGATATCACGGTTACATTACAGAACTTGCTGACATATATTCAAAGACATCATATATCCAGGATGTTCAAGACATAGCCTGCAGGGTCAAAATAGCAGTGTCGCCCAAAAGGGTGAGGCCAGCATCTTTGTCTTTGCCCAGCTCTGCTACTTGCTGAGCCATTGCAATTCTTCATGTGAAAGATTCGGATGCCTTTGGCGTCAACTCTTGAGATCAACAAACATCCCTCCAGGACCTGTGCATAGTCAGTCACGTCCAAGCTCGTTGCCAAGCGGACGTGTTTCAATGAAGGCTTATATGATACCAAGCTTCGTATCTGCCAATAAACACAATCAAGGGTTTCGCAAGTTCCCCAGTGTCTTCCCTTGAAAGCGTAACACTTCCTTGACCGACACGCGGACCAGAGCACAACGCAGAAATACGTCAATTCCGACTTGTTCACTTACCCGTCGCTTGAATTTACCCTGGGGCATGGTCCGGGCTAGGGGGTGTTGGAAATTGACATCTGGCGTTCCGGACGAATTCTAGAAGCATGCCAATACCACCACCCCCCCAACCAAAACAAACAAAACAACATCTGCCAAACGGATCTACCAACCGCGCAAAAAACATGTCCGGCACCAAGATAGAATCTGCAGCATTTGCGTGTGTTTCTTGAGGAGACACTTTTTGTTGGGCTGGTTTACAGGGAAAACACCAGCCGAACCCAAGCCATGTTTGGTGTCCGGACATGTCCGGATCCCTTCGACACATACCCAAACACACCGCCCGCCTGCAGACTTCGCCATGCCTTGAAGCGCCTCCGGCGAGATGCTCTTCATCATCTCCTCCGCCGCCTAAGAGGGGCGGCTACCGGAGTGGAAACTTTCAGGACCCAACCTTAGATCTGGTGGTTTCTGATGGGGCTTCGGGGGGTTCCCGATTTTTGAGCCACTACTCATGGCTACCAGCTGCAACGACTGACCAACATCGTAAAAAACCAAAACACGTTGTTGGGGTAGACTATATTTAGTGGAGAACCCCAACCAGTACAAGTTCAAAAAGGCAAAAGAGTGCCACTGAACCATTGGGGTTGATCTGGCTCCAATGTGCATGAGCCAATGGGTGTAGCATCAGTAGCATCCTTAGAATCTAAAGAGCTACATCTAGGAATGCATTCACTTTGTTTACAACAGAGCGCACACGGCTCCTACCCTCAACAGTTCACAACACGCGTGCAACCAACACGCACGCGGATTCATGATGAAGACCGCAGGTGCAAAGGCAAGGAGCAAGAGTTGACTCGTTTCAAGCATGACACTCGCTCAACCCAGCCGTGGACATGTAAAAAGCGAACAAGAAGGCTGGTGCTGCATTGATCATATTTTTGGTTGGAGCAAGCGTTTGACACTCCACACGGTGCTCGTCGAGCATAATGCACGCACTGGGCAAAGCAGAGGCTGAACATGGATGCAGCTACCAGACACATTGCCGAGGCAAAATCCAATATCAACAATACCAACACACACACGACACACTTTACAAAAAAAACGACTCCTTGAGTGATTGTCAAAAACAACATGATGTTTTCATGAATCATGAGTATGTACGAGTCGC